CAGCGCTCTGACGGAACTGTATTCACATGCAAGGAAAATGATCTCTACATGCTAAAGATGGACGACATCTATCAGATGTATCTTGCATTCCAGGAAATTCCAGGCATTCGTGACAAAATTACACAAGATGGGCTGGATGCACTCAAGCGGTTTATGATCAGACAAATCAAATTCTTTGCCTCTCATGATCTTCAGATGGCTCTTGAAACAAACATGCCAAAGACGAACCTCACAAAACCAAAGCTGTATGGACAAGAATTGGAAGACTTTCCTGAGTATTACATCTTTGATAGTCCAATCACGCTCATCTATCTGAATCATAACAACGAAAAGCGTCTAATGTTCGTGGATGAAATTAACAAGTACTGTGACGGAACATTGAAAATTGTGAAAGAGAAGCTGCAACCGATCAGAGAAGCATTTAAAGAAAGACAGCAGAAATATGCAGATGCCACAGATGCTGAATTAAAAGAGGCACACAGAATTGACAACATCCTACAGGCCATCGAAAAGCAACTTGATAGAAGAAATTCACTCAGAAACTATGAGCACGCACTTAATCTCAGAAAGAATTATTATAAAGCTCAATAGTGAAGAGAAGAAGAAGCAAGACGGCACTTGATCACAAAGGGGGAGATTGTTGAGGAAAATATTTGTTGTGATCAAGTTTGTCTAGAGTCTTGTTGTCCCAATTAGATTAGACTTATCTTTTTAGTATTTATGTAAAGAATAAATGAGCTAAGGGAATAGGGCCCAAAAAGGCCTTAGGCCCAGAACTCTAGGTTACCATTTCGGTACCTGTACCTACGCCTATAAATATGCGTACATGTGGTACAGGACCGAATAATCGAGAATAAGAAATATACAGCGCCTTTCATTCAGAACATTCAATATATAGTTCTCGATAGTATAGCGTAAGGATTTCTTCTGTTCAGATTATCTCTCGATCATTATTAAGAATCCTTCTCTATATTATTGTAGATCGTTCATAGCTGTTCATTCATCCTGAAATTTGGGACCAACAGATGTATTTTAAACAATCAAACACATATTATTGCATTCAGATCAGTTTGAAGTTGCATTCAGGTTACTTGAATTTTGTAGGAGAAAAATCTATATAATTCGTAAGTAGATATAAAACATACCATTGGTCTTCTATCTCAATAGCTGTAGATCCATTAGGATCATCGTTAACAACCATGCCAACCACATCTGCAAGAATACTATTTAGTGGGATTATTTGATTATGGAGATATAGTATCGATATACGGAGTAATATTTAGTAATAATGTTTTGTCATACCAGTCAAAAGATATTTACTCCCGAGACGGTTCTTTAAAATGTTGAAAGATACGAAGTCAAATTTATAATTTGGCACTTCAATTGCTTCTCCTTTGACTTCTTTGATGATAGTGTTATGAAAGAATTGTATCATGATTTTATTATCGGCTACAACACGATACTCTTCTTTATTTGGAAGCACTGAGAAGTTTCTTATGATGTGTATCATTCCTTCCTTTATTTTGGGACGTAATGTATGAACATATCCACTTTTTATAGATGCATGAACATAATCACCCTGCAATCATGAAAAATATCATTAGGTTTTTGTGTAAAATAAATATAAATACATTAAAAATTCGAAATTTTTTTAAAAAAATATACCTCTTCATCGATCAGAACCATGTCTAGACAAATTAAGCTTCATTGTCTTTTGTGATTGATGACATCACAGAGGCGTGTAACACGAACTTTGATTGTCCAGTCGGACTTGGATGTATCAAGCTGACGTATTAGAGAATAACTTCTGCATTTTATGGAATATTAATCAATAAGGTATAATGCATAATAATATCATGTATCATAAACATGTGAATGATAAAGTATCATAATACTGTGTATCATAATACTATTTCTTTGTTACCTTCGAATGATGAAAATGCAGCCACACGATTTTATAAATTCAAAATGGAATTTAATTTATATTATGACATGTTCATGTATGGAATCATTGAAAAAGAATACTTTTGATTATATAAATATATATATACTCCGTAGTACGTATGTATTTTCACAAGTAATATGTTTAGCTCAGCCCAAAAAAGTAAACACGTTTATCATAATATTAATCAAGTTTATGGAATATTAATGAATCGGGTATAATGTATAATAATATCATGTATCATAAACATGTAAATGGTAAAATATCATATGTACGTAGTATTCAATAATATATCATTAAAAATGTTGTAGAAACTTATAAGAACACTAAGCAATAAAATTCTTCAAACTAAGGAGAAAGCCAATAGTAAAAATACACTTTTGTTTGCATTCTCTTTGTATATATATAATAGCCTATTTGTGCACTATAGGTAGTTTTTATGTTTCTAATTCTAAATTTAGAAACATAAAATATATTAAAAGTTTACTCCAAAGTTAGGAAACGTAATATATATTCTAAAAGTTTGCTAAAATCAACATAGATAATAAAGTGTGACTTTCTCACACAATAAAATATAAAGTTACCGAATAAATATACCAAAAAGTTTGCTAAAATACGTAATACTAAAATCAATAACATATATTAAAAGTTTACTAAAAGATTTATGGAATAAGATATAGTATAAGTCTACTAAATCAGATTTAGTAACTAATACAAAACGTATATATTGAAAGTTTACTAAAGGATTTACGGAATAAGATATGAAATAATGGCAAGGATATTACTTGTACACTTTACATGGAAAAAAATATGACCAGTTTTTAGTTGGACAGAAAACTAACCATTTAAAAATAAAAACTCTCCCCTCCTGCCCTCTCTAATTCCCGTCGTCCTCTGCGAAATCAGCGCTACCAAAACTCCTTGAGCCTTGCAACAAAGATGGCACCAGTGCTTGCGATGAAGATGGTGATCATCGATTCCTCTCCTTTCTTTTGCAATAGAGAGAGACGAAGATAGCGACCATCGATTCTCCGATCGATCCCTCTCCTTTCTTCTGCAATGGAGATCGACGAAGATGGCGATCAGCGGAGGCTACGAAGAGCGATGGAGGCGCCGGCCGCTGCAATCCCTCGCACACATCTGCTCTCCCGTCGTCGCCCTTATCCCATGGAGCAGCCGTCCATTTTTTATGGTTACTGTTTCAGATGGATGGCTAGAGTTCAGATCTAATGTAGTGGTGCGATTTTGAGGTCAATTTTGTTCGGCACTTGGGTTGTATGGTGGAGTGCAACGGTTGGGGTGGTTGGAGAGGGGTGGCTTGGGCCTGGAAGGGAAAGTGGTCGTGGTCTGTGGCGGCGGCCGAAGGGTAAACTGGTGGGAGGGGCGAATTCTATGGTGATGTTGGCCGGTCAGTGGCCAATTGTGGAGCTCGGGGTGATGGGTCAGGGTGAGGGTGGGGCAAGATCGGAGTGGTGAGGGCAGGACTGGGCCTTGGGGTGATGGGGTAGAGCAGGGGGCTGTCGTGACTCGTGATGGTGGTGGGGAGGGCGGGGAGGAAGGGTGTGGTGGTGGTTTGCGGTGGTGGTTACTTAACCAGTGCTGCGTCTATTTCACTGTCTATTTCACTAAGCTGGCCCGCGTTGCCAAAGGAAAACACAACAGTGACATTTTTCTGTGTCACTGACATGGACGGTGGCTACGGTGACACGGGCGGTGACTATAGTGACACAGACAGTGGCTTTAGTTACATGTGTGGTGGCTACAGCGACACGTGTGGTGGCTACAGTGACACGTGCAGCGGCTATGGTGACACGGGCGGCGGCTACAGTGACACATGCGGTGGTTATAGTGACACGGGCGGGGGCTACAGTGACACGGGCGGTGGCTACAGTGACACGGGCGGTGACTACAGTGACACGGGCGGTGACTACAGTGACACGGGCGGTGACTACGATGACATGGGCGGTGGTTGTTGTGATGGGGTGGCTACAGTGACACGGACGATGGTTGTAGTGATATGAGTGGTGACTATAGTTACAAAAAAACGAACACGCAGTGACATAAATTTTTTTGCAGTTATGTCATGTTTTCTAATTGCACATATATGACCTTCTTAGTCACTTTTTTGCCCCTTTTTAAAAATGGTTACTTTTTGGGTAATTGGTTCAAAATTACAAATATCCAAGTAAAAACCCCATAAGATATAGTATAAGTTTACTAATTAAATCAGATTTAGTAGCTAATACAAAACGTATATAAATAAAAGTAATTAAATAATAGTTATGTATGATGACATGGCAGACTTAGGTGGCACTCCGTATGCTCTTGAAAAGTTCCTCTTTTATATTTTCAATAATATATCATTAAAAATGTTGTAGAAACTTATAAGAACACTAAGCAATAGAATTCTTCAAACTAAGGAGAAAGCCAATAGTGAAAATACACTTTTGTTTGCATTCTCTTTGTATATATATATATAATAGCCTATTTGTGCACTATAGGTAGTTTTTATGTTTCTAATTCTAAATTTAGAAACATAAAATATATTAAAAGTTTACTCCAAAGTTAGGAAACGTAATATATATTCTAAAAGTTTGCTAAAATCAACATAGATAATAAAGTGTGAGTTTCTCACACAATAAAATATAAAGTTACCGAATAAATATACCAAAAAGTTTGCTAAAATACGTAATACTAAAATCAATAACATATATTAAAAGTTTACTAAAAGATTTATGGAATAAGATATAGTATAAGTCTACTAAATCAGATTTAGTAACTAATACAAAACGTATATATTGAAAGTTTACTAAAGGATTTACGGAATAAGATATAGTATAAGTTTACTAATTAAATCAGATTTAGTAGCTAATACAAAACGTATATAAATAAAAGCAATTAAATAATAGTTATGTATGATGACATGACAGAGTTAGGTGACACTCTGTATGCTCTTGAAAAGTTCCTCTTTTATATATATATATATATTGATATATATATTGATTAGTTAAAACAAAAAATTCCAGGGAGTATGAACCTTATTTAATTATTGTTCCGCAAAAAATGAGACGGCCAAAATTGGCTATGGCGCCAATGAGGGGCGAAAAATTACAGCCGTTGGCATCAAAACATTCGCTTGCGCAACGACCTGAGTCCCCGCGACGGCCTTCGAAAATCGTCAAATTCAACGACGAAGAGGCAGGTCAGAGCGCCTCAAGTATGAGTAAGAAGCAAATGAATCCCAACCCTAGACTCCAGAGATACTTGATAGCAATTGAGTATATTGGAACTCGATTCGCCGGCGCTCAGCAACAATCCAATTGCCGGACCGTCGTCGGTGTTCTGGAGGTAATTTTATTTTCTGTCACAAAGTCAATACTTCCACTTCTCTGCCAGATTTTGAACATTTCTTCTCACACAACGGGAAATGCATGAAAATGATAACTTGATCAAACTCTAAGCATTCTTATATGTACAAAGACTATTTTTTTTTACAGAACCATAATTAATGTCTGCTTGTTCACACCTTATTTCCTTTTTGATACAGGAAGCCTTCAAAAAATTTATTGGACAGCCGGTATCAATATTTTGTTCAAGCCGGACTGTAAGCTTCATTATTTTCTATTCTGCTAATAAGAAACATATAAATATTTCACGAAGAAAAAACATAGCAGTCCTATTTTGGAATTCCAAAATCTGTTTACTCCTCTTTAGGTCAATTTCCCTGTAAACACCAAGAACAAAACTAGATAATCACAAATGGAGTACTTAATACTTAATAGCTGAAGGACTAGAAGTTGAATACTCTTCTTTTGCTAACTTTCTCCAAACAATGTGTTGTAGGATGCAGGAGTACATGCACTATCGAATGTTTGTCATGTAGATGTTGAAAGGATAAGCAAACGAAAACCTGACGAAGTGGTATGGTTTTTTAATTCACTACACGTTGCAAAGGTCTCTTACAGATTTGTGTGGTTAGGGAATTTTGGAGGGGAACGGAGCACCGATAAAGTTTTACTAGTTTATCTTCACTTCTAGTCTTGATTAGAAAATAACAGCAAATAGATCAATAAAATAAATGTCACCGTTCACCACTGAAATTCCATGGTCGAGCCTATGACAAAACATTTTCTGATTTCTTGTGATATGTTAATTACATCTTCCTACCTTGACGTTTTTTCCAAATACCATATTACTAAGTGACTCCCCAGGTTTCCCAAAATTGCAAATGCATCCTCTGACTAGTCAATTATTCTATATTTAGCATGGAAGATGATGTAATATTGTCATATTATTAGTAGGAATTGAGTGATCTCATACTAAATTAGTCATAAAATTTGTCTCAATTATTATTTTTATCATTCTGAAAAATCTTTTCACATCAACTGATAAAGTGGAATTAAAATACAATGTTTACTCCAATCACTTAATTCATCAAAAAATTAAAGAGCCCCATATGACTCCCTTATGGAGCCATATGGTGTATTGTGGCACCATCATCACCACTCATATTTCTAGTGGAGGGCCCCACTTAAAATATGACTCCCTTATGGAGTCATATGAGGCTCCATAAATCTACTCCGTAATTCATGCTATGGCTTTACCTATTTTGATAGGTATGACATTTTTTTTTGACTTGAGACTTTTGCTTCTTTTCCTTCACTATCTGCCTACAGACTCTTTCTTCGGAACTGAACAGTAGACTTTCCAAACTTGACTTTGAGTTTTATTAACTGACTGCAACACATGCAGAATTATGAGATGTGTGGTTAATGTGTGCATTTTTTTAATATATGGATACCTTTATTTGCATGCAGTTACCACCCCATGAACCTGAAGTGGTTAAAAGAGCCGTGAATCACTTTTTACAGGTCTGCCTAGTTTAATTAAAGCATTCGTATAGCATGACTACCTGCCTCCTGCTTTTCATACGACGAGATCCCAATATTATCTTGCTTACTCATTGAATGAGTGAATGGGTTAAGCTGGCTTGAAACTTGATCAAAATCCATCTTTTAAAAATTTCTTGCTAAAAAGCTTCACATCTCCCTATATTGCACACTGCAGCTCGATAGGCTGCTAGCAGCAGTCTAACATTTTTATCTTCATTGTTTTGTTGCAGAAAAATGAGGGCGATGTAACTATCATTGATGTTTGCAGTGTTGCAGCTGATTTTCATGCTAGATATAAAGCTCAGGAACGAAAGTACGTATCAATAATCTGACTTGCTGCTGTCACGATATGGTTGCACCTATTTGCAATTTTGTATAGTCAATATATGTGTTAAGCTTATTTAACTCAGCCGAAAAACCAATTAGATAACCGATTCAAGATACTCAATACAACCCGTCATCCGGGGCAGCGGAGGAGAGGAAGAATGGGTCCAAACCAAACTCCAAATGGTCCACCCCTAACTATCAAGTGGGTGGCACCCCATAAATCATCGGAAAATTTTTCAAAGTAGAAGTAAAAACAACGCGTTTCTCTAAATAAGAGTACCGCGATTTCTTTACCTAAATAAGAGTACCATGTTTTTCTGTCTAAATAGGAGTGAAGTTTTGACATCTTCAAACTAATGTCATATTATAACAGTGATAGTGATGGAGTATATTGTCATATACCCCAAGGGTCCAAATTAGACGGTCCAAGATAACGGCCCAAGTCATGTATCAGTTGAGTCGAGGTCCTGTGTCGAGGCCAGAGATCTCTCCACCAGTCTAGCTCCGAGTTGGCAGGCCCGTTCGCTCCAAACTGAGCTGCTCCAGCGAGCCCGAGCCCAGTGACACGCTGACTATAGTGGAAGAGGCCTAGAGGGTCAGACCCACCTCGTTTCGGTGATAGTTTGACATTTAGCCATTTCCTCGGCATTCTAGCAAGGTGTATATCGAGGGTTTGCTTCATATAGGCTTCCGCTGACGCCACAGGCCTAATTTCTAGAAGGGTTTACATCGTCACACATTAGCATGGCATCACTATACTTGTTCTTCAAGTCTTACCGGGACACGTGTAGCTCCCTGACTAGCTTAGCTTCTTTGGGATTTAAGGATGTTTTCTTTTGGACTGTTTTCAGACCAGATCAGACCAGACCAGACTTGTGTAGCTATAAAATACACAGAGATCAGACGTTTACCAGACCAATTTAGACAAGAACAGACCAGACCAGAAAATTTCAGCCCAAAAGAAAACATCCTAAATCCAGCCCTTGTATTTTGTCTATAAATAGCAGTCTTTCCCCTTTGGGAAAGTGACCGAAATTCATGTATTGTTATTTTGCCAAATTTATTACACATCTTTCCCTCTCTACATTTGATCTCACTTCTCTCTTACTACACCCGGGTTTTATAACCCATCATGCAACATCATTCAATATAACAATACTTACTCCTATTTAGGAAAAAAATATAATATTTCTATTTAAGTAAACTAACTTGTTTTTACTCCTATATTGGAAAATTTATTCAAACCGTCCTCAGATCACTGTGATACCATGTTGAATAGAGCCTAAGAAGTTGTTCCGTTCGCCTGATTTGGGTGTTTCTGATCTAAATTTTTTAAGATTTGGTCTAACTTTATCCAAATTTTTCTGACCTAATCTGAATCTTACTGATTTGATCTGATCTGAATCCTTCTAAATGATCTGATTTGATATGAATATTCCTGATTTGATTGAATCCTTATTATTATTATTAAGTTATTATTATTATTAGTTATAATTACAATTACAATTATAATTGCAATTATAATATACTTCCTCCGTTCTTGTTTAGTTGCAAAGCTTCCATTTTCATGTTTGTCAATGCACAACTTTGACCACTAACATATTTAATCCCTTATTTGTAAAAAAATTTAAAATATCACCTTCTGTATATTTGAAATGAGAAGAATTTTTATTATTTTTTAAAAAATAAAATTTCAATGCAGTAGTAAATGAAATGCAGTCAAACTAGAGCATATGAATAGTGTAAAATTTCTAATGTTGCAATATTTAAGAATGGAGGTATATATAGCTATAATTATAATATTGTTATATTATCGTTATTGTTATCCTTATTTGTATAATTACGATTATCGTTATTATAAGCGTTATCAATACCATTATAGTACGTAGTATTACTCTTATTATTAAATTATAAATATCAACAACCTACATTTATATAATAATAGTACATGCAAATATTAATAACAATAACAATACATTAATAATAATAATATGGTGTATTAATAATATTATTATTGATAATAAGTAATAACCATAGCAACAACATATGATGTTTTAGTAATAAAAAATTATATACAAATAATGATAATAACAACAATGATAAAAATTCATATAATTAGCCATTATGGAAACATCCTACTATAATAACATACTACTAATAATAATGATATCAATATAGTGTAATACCATTATTATTCTTTAAAATATTTATAGCAAGAACTATGCTTTTATATTTATAATAACATACAAATAACAAGAATAATAATAAATAACAATAATAACAAGAACAATAGAAATAATATTGATAATGATAGTAATAATGGTAATAATTATAATAATGCTAATAATATTAATAATTTTAATAATTTTAATAATATTAATGATAATGCTAATAATGATATTATTATAAATAATGATAATGATATAAGTAATAAATCATATCTAAACTTTTCTGATCTGGTCTTAATGTTTCTGGTCTTATCTGAATGTTTCTGATGTGATTTAAATCATTCTGATGTGATCTGAATCTTTCTGATCTGTTCAGAGAATCATTCTGATCTGTTCTGAATTTTTCTGATCTGAGATGAATTTTTCTGATCTGATTTGAATAAAATAAGAATAAGCAAGAAGCAATAAGAATAAAATGAACAAAACACCTTCTAAACCATCCCAAAAGTTCCGTACTGAGGTTTATCTCATACTTATTTACTACTATACTAGACTCAAACCCAATAAATCACAAATGCGTAGTGCCCAATATTATATTTTCTAAGTAATTCTTTATTCCGTATTGCCCATTCGAAGTCATGGCATGGCATGATCTTTGTTTTGTCTTTAGGTTGTCAGATTAATTGCCATTGAAGTCCCGTATTTTAATTTTTTTATAATCTAGTATAGAATTTTTTGAGTACAGACTTTCACTTTTTCATAGGCTGATTTTCCTTCCCAGTTTCTTTTGGTTTCCTTGGTGAAAATCGACGTTTGGGGTTTCATTTTTTCTCAGATTTTGAAGAATGATGCTCTTGATTGCTATTAAGTATTCACATTTTTACTAATTCTTGAGAATCTCCTTAGGTACTTTTATAGGATATTATGTGGACCTGAGCCTTTGTCAACCTTCGAAAAAGACCGGGCTTGGCATGTACCCGAGGAATTAGATCTTCTCGCCATGCAGGTTGATAAAAATATTTCATGAAAGGACATTTTGATATCATGTTAGCACTCTAAGTTTAGTTTTTTCATGTCCTGTTTCTTCAGCAAGCGTGCAGAGTTCTTGTTGGACATCATGATTTCAGTTCCTTTAGAGCTGCTGCATGTCAGGTTAGTATATTCATAAAATCTGCTCCGAGTGATTTTTTCGTTATTCTAGAATTTTCAAAGGCTCAATCTTGCTTATTCTCTTTTCCAGAACAATTTATGGCATTTATCTTGTTATTTATACTTTCATTCCTTTTAACCTGTCTGGTTTTATTTTTATTTTTTGTGGGTGATCAGGTAGGATGATAAGCAGATCTTATTCATTACGGAGTATTACCCTTTCTTTCATAATGTGCTATTAACTATAATCATTGAGTCCTGATAGCCCTTTTTGTTTTTTTATGAGTGCTTTCTTGTTCGTGAAGATACTACCTTTCTGTGCTTGCTACTATTTCTTCAAAATTTATAGGCAAAATCACCCATCAGATCTCTGGATGAATTAAGTGTTACTGAGGTGGCATCAACTCCCTATTTCCCATCAATTTTAGAAATGTATCCAAGTGACGCTGTGATGTCTGACCTGCCCGAGACCTTGAATTCAAAAACCCTTGAAGGCAGAAATGAGTTTGGAGTTAGAAGAAGGCATCGTTGCTTAGTTGTCACTGCAAGGGCACGGTCTTTTCTTTATCATCAGGTTGGTCTTATGCAATTCATTTACCAAACATAATGAAAAAGGAAAATGGTTGGAGCTAGTGCACAACTTTTAAATACATGGGAAGGGGACATTTTGCAGTTAATAACATTATGAATAATTGATTGAGGAGTAGCACTTAACTACTAAGTTGGGGTCTATCAGAGTGGCATGGAATTTATGCATCTAGTTGTCTAATATGAATGAACACTATAAGTTTATGAAACAAACTGTGAACAACTTCTATGACGGATGGACTTCTTGTCACAAGGCTTGTGTGATGACGCGGGAACTGCCGCCATTACCACCTGAAGGGGGCGCATCTTGTGGCCCTAGTCAACGTATGACCACTGACAGGCAACCAAAGCCTATTTAGGTTTCCTGCCACCTGGCTCAACCATAGTGGCCATTAGATAGTCCAACATAATGAGGTTCAAACATGCAACGAATTGGTGGCCAGTTAATAGTGATTGATGTGGTGGAAAAAATATCATGAGTCAATGTAGAGTTTAGGTAGTGTTGTTATAGTTATCATGTCCAATTACAAGATTGATAGGGTGAAACCAACATTGTTTACATGGTGAAATGACATACTTTCCTTCAATTAGTTATCTGCTAGTTATACTGATGAAAAATAGATTTACTTATTCCGAAAAATAAATAAATACTTTGTTGAGTTGAGGTGTTGACTAGTGAAGAGATAAATGTCGTATACAGGTTAGGCTGCTTGTGGGAGTTCTTAAAGCAGTAGGGAGTGGGGATCTTGGTGTTCCTGATGGTAAGGTTTAAACTGTATTTTTGAATGTTAGTCGGGGCTGCCATTGAGCCTATAAAAGATGTATGCATTTATGTGTTTCTTTTGTTATGAATTTGATGATGATGAACCGGTTTGTCAGTTGAACGCATCCTCAATGCGAAGACAGTAACTGCTGCCAGCCCAATGGCTCCCTCATCTGGCCTTTACCTGGGACATGTGAGATATGATGTTGAGGATCTCAAGAATTCTCCATCCTGAAGAAATTGATGATGAATGGATGGATGGACGGATGGTTGAATTGAACCAAATAATATGCATGTTTCCTGATGGGTGGTATTTATTCCCTTTTCATCCACTGGGAGAAGTGGAAGGAATACTTAGGGCCTTGTTTATTTATTTCTCCAGTATTCTTTTCTGTTTTCATTTTTCGGTTATTCATTTTCCAAATCTTAACACAAGTTTTCCAAATTTCTTTTGTTTTCCATTTCATTTTTCAAAAACATAAAGTAAGTATATTCATCGAGAAAACGAAACCTGATAGAACTGAAAGCGTAAAGAATGACAAATATTATCTCACACCGTTAAAAATTAATGTGTGTATAAAACAAAATAAAGTACTCGTAATTAGAAAACATTTGAAATAAGACAAACCATTTACGTAAATGATAATCCACGAACAAAATGCAATAAGTGACATTTTTTGAGATTATATCATCTTGAAAAACAAAGACACAACACTAGTAATACTTGCCATGAAAATTATCGATTAAAGTTAATATTAGGAATTTATTTTTAAAACCATGTGTTTTTTCATAACATATTTGAGAAACAACACATCTCATTGTATTATAATACACAAAAGGAAAAGGGGCAAAACCCCCTTGAACTCTTGAAATTGTCCCTAAAGAGCATCTATGGCTCTATGCCCTTAAACTCTTTTCGAGTGCAAGATCTTTAAAATATCTTATTGGGGGGGGGGGGGGGGGGGGGGGGGGCAATTGTATCCTAAACTCACGGTACACACAGTAAGTTAACGGAACTAGCGGCTGTCAAACTTGCTCCTTTGACTTAATTTTATTTATGCATGAACTAATTTTTTAAATTAGTTGAAATACATGAAGTATAAATAAAACTGTTAGAAAAGTATTACTCCATATTAGGATTAGAGCCCATTTGATATGGTAAAATAAAATTAGGATCCTTTAAAGCACTTTATATTTTGATATAAATATACTACGAAACCCGCTTGGTAGCATATGGTTCGGCACTTCGGCTTACCAGTCAATCTTTTTGTCAAACTATTTAAAACCAACTATTTTAGATGATGAATTGTTTAATAATCAAAATAAGTGGGGTTGAAATTATTTTTCTGATTAAATTGACTCCAATTGTTTAAAGCTAGCTATTTTAGCATTTTCATATGACTTTTTCTTTATAATACTACACCTCCTTCCTAAAATTGAGATAAGATGGAGTAGTGTGTTTATTAAGAAAATTGTGATTGTGTGACTAGTATTATTGAATTATTAAAATGTGAATAAAATAACAAAGAATTATATTCGCCCAAATATTCAGAAATATGGTATGCGGCAAATTTAATGAGACAGACGGAAAATGTAAAATGGGACAAAGATAGGGAGTGTAGAGAATATTAATAAAAATATATTCTAAATTTAATTTCTTTGTAATTTGATAAATTTTAATTCATTCAACCGATTAAATCAATTTCAGTATTACCAAACGAGCTCTAATCATAATACAGAGCAATTCGTTCTTAATTGCTAATGACGGTTTTTTATAATAACTAATAAAATTTTTGTATAATTATTATTTTGTATCAGAAACATTCAGATAAGATCGGATTAGAAAAATTCAGATCAGGTCAGACCAGATCTTAAAAAATTCAGATTAGAAACATTTAGATCAGACAAACAAAAAAACTTCTTAGTCGCTTTTGTGGTTTACTTGTACTTTTAATCATTTTATTTATATTTTATACTCCACATAATTCAATTAGTTAAAAAATTGGCTATTAATAAATTAAACTAGAATATACGTACTATCTATTTTATTGAAAATCCAAATGAGCAACTTTAGTAGTTGCTGATCTGCTAATTGGGCCATTGGGGTTACCGTAAAAAATAAAGGGGGTGTTTGCCCTCTTAGGAATTTTAAAGCTTTTTGCACAAAAAAGAAGTTTAAGGGTATAGGTGCCCTTTGCCTACAACTTGAAAGGGGGAATTTGCCCCTTTTCCCATACACAAAACACTAATAATACTTTTTTAAAAGTCACATGTTTTTTCAAGATTTATGGATCAAAGTTAGTATTAAGAAATCTATTTATCTTGAGAAAAAATTATGATTCCCAAAAGTTATAAAACACTAAAAAAAATCAACACACTGTTGAATAGATTTCAAAAAAATATGTAGTTTTTTTTTAAAAAAAAGTTGCTTCAGTCGGATATCCAAGCGCGAAACAAATACAAGACGAAGTGTAGTGCTGTGTGTTTTCATTTTGGGAAACGGCAAAAAGCTAGTTCTCCAACTTAAGAAAAAAATCGAAAACACATATATGTTTTTCAATTTTAGAGAATAAACAGGTAAATATGTTTTTCAGTTTTTTAGTTTTTTTTGAAAAAACAGGAAATATTCGTGTTAATAAACGGGCTCTTTTATTTTATGATTTCAATCACTATTTCTTCATATAATATCATTGTATTGCAAGAACTAGTATTTCACGTAGGCTTTGTACGCGGATAACAAATTAATTAAAATTTGGGATAATCGCAATTTTAGTCCCTGAAATAGTCACCATATTGAAATGTCAGACCCGTATTTTTGTGATTGTAATTGTCACCCCTGAATTGTTCAAATTGTTGTAAATGCAGTTCTTTGAGGGGTGAAATGTACTTCTCGCTCACTTTGTACATTTTACCGCTTAAAGGGTCACATTTACACAAATTTAAACAATTGAGGGGTAACATTTACACTTTGAAAATATAAGTTTGACATTTCAATATGATGCAAATTTCAAGGACTAAAGTGGATCCATGAGACTCATGAAAGAAACATAGAAATTACTGGCATGATAAATTTATTCTTTCATTCATTGGATGTTGATTATATATAATATTACAATGTTATGCGTAAATATGAAAATATATTTGATGCGAGCTCTACTCTTTGGTAGAAGAGCTGTAATTTCTTGTGAAATACGGAGTATATCATCACCAACATTAGTCATCCACTCGTGTCATTCAGCTCCCACTTTCCAACATTTCCATGCAAGCGGTTTAAATGTATTTAGTCCAAAAAAGTTGATGTCTATGATAGGGGTGGGCATAACGGTTTGGTTTAATCGAACCGAATCGTACCAAACCGAACTAAATCGAACCGAAACCAAACCGTATGCAATTTGGTTTGAGTTTGGTACTATTTCTTTCAAACCGTATTAAATCGAACCGAAACCGATAAAACTCAAAACCGAACCGAACTAAAGAAACCGAACCGAACTAAAGAAACTCAAAAAAACTTTCATATATTATTAAAATTGGTGGTTTGATTTGGTTTGATTGGGGTTTACTTAAGTAAACTGTTTGGTAAACATTTGCTCAAACCGAATGTTTGCCTCTTATATGTGTGCAGTATGGAGATTGTAAGTTTGATTGTACCAGTGAAATACGACAATGTGTTTGTCCATTATATGTATACATTAGGGAGGTTGTAGATTTAGTGACTTGGTGATTTGGAGTGATACATAACTGCCCAAACTCCTAAGCCCTCACCCACTTCTATTAACCATTTAAATCATTGTTATTTTTCTCATTGCACACATGTAAATCATCACTACTTATATTTTATTTATGTTGGCACATTGCTTGTACACCCTTGCTATTTTACACACAACACCAAAAAACTCTATTTTGATTTTATTGCTTTGTTTTAGTTTATTTGGTTTGGATTTAAACTAAAACAAACCATTTCAAATTAGTAAATGTTGACTTAAAAATATGAAATTATACATTATTTTTTTAACTTTATAAACCAAACATCAAACCGAACCGAACCGAAAATTTCTCGAACCGAACCGAAACCGAAATACATTTTTCGCCAAACCGAACAACTTGAAACCGAACTGAACAACTTGAAACCGAACCGAACCCGATAAAAACCGAACCGTAAACCGATTTGCCCAGCCCTAGTCTATGAGTCGCCATTCTCCATGAAAACTGATGAAGAGATCATCTGATCACGGAAGAAGGCGGTTGAATATAGGATCATAGGCATGGACCCTACCCGGCAGTGGCGGATCTAGGCATCAGAGCCCAGTATATGCACATATATAACACTAATAGTAAATTACATTAATTAAAAAAAATTCTAAATAAAACTTAATAAAAGAAAAGGTACCTTTTATAGATGTCGTGCTTGCATATTTTGAAAGTGTTGAACAATTAACTCATCATCAATGCTATCAAACAAACACATCACTTTCAATATAAGGAACTAAACAGTCATTCATCCAATCATCTACCATCCAATGTCGCAACTTGGTCTTCACAATTTTCATCGCTGAAAAGGCTCTTTCTACCTTGGCGGTAGCAACAAGCAGGGACGGATCCAGGAATTCAGTTCAAGGGGGGCGAATTTTTTTCATTAGTGTAGGAGGTCAAGAATTTTCCGCTAGTGTAGCAGAGCGAAAATTTTCCGCTAGTGTAGTGGGGCGAATTTTTTTGATAGTGTAGTGGGGCGAAACTTTTTCGCAGTGTAGGACTCTGCGGCTAGTTTATGTTCAAAAAAATCCATGAGTCAATGCACGGTGACATTTAATCTATTACATTCAAATTTTAAACAATGAAAAAGTAACATTGTTTCAATAATTCTAAGTGCTCTATAAAATTTTAAAGTGCTCTATTAAAAAAATCTAAGTGCTCTATAACATTATTTGAAAATAAGAAAAGATATAACATTTTATCAAAATATTTGAAGGTAAAGAGTTTAAAAGGTACACATGAACCGAAGCTTTTTGAATAACTTCTGCTTTGTTTAACCACATGATCTCATCAGATTAAAGAATCGGGTTTTGAATTGCAATTTTTATCTATGAAGGAGGATATTCGTGGATGACGAGGAGTTTTCTTAATATTACAATAGTATGTATGAGATTATTAGTTTTAGAGTAATATGATACGTAATATTGTTAATTCATGTATAAATGATGCATATTATATTTGTATTAATGCTAAAATAAGTTATAATTTATTATCTATGCAACATATTGGTTTTACGAAGTAAGAAGTAAATTGATTGTGTAATTTAGTGTCAACAAACATTTATATTTTGGATTTACTTTAAATAATTTAAAAACTATTTAACTATTGTGTATGATATTTAATACCATTGATATTTTACGAAATCGAGTACTAATTATCTAGCTAATAAAGATAATTAAACATTACAAAACTATGAATTTTTATATAATAGGTATCTTAAGTCTTAAACAATGAGTTGTTCTATTGTTTATTTGTTAAAATTATGTAAATTATTTTAGATTTTGCTTCTTTTGAAATCTCCAATTAAACATTACAATATGTGAGATTTATATTAATTTTGAAAATTAAAAGATAAGGGGGGCGAAAACATATACATCTAATTAAAGTATGAAAATTTTATGAAAATATTACATATATAGTAGAAAATTTTGAAAGTCCAAGGGGGGGCGGTCGCCCCCCCGCGCCCCCCCTTAAATCCGTCCCTGGCAACAAGTAATGTCAGTGCCAACTTCAGAAGTAAACTAACTTATAAACACGATGTTTCCCGCCTTCACCAACATCTCCGCAAGGCAAGCAATTCCTTTCAAGTCTGAAAATTCATCATTGCTGCGCATATCAATAATATAAGTCTCCAAGTGATTGATTGTTTCATTGTTAATAACAATAACAATTTTGAACAATAAGTGAATTATAACAATAATTAGTAACTACCAAAGCTTTAATGTTAGAGAAATAAAAAACGTGAAGTAGAGCTAAGGTCTAAGGAGTGTCAATCGTCATTCCCAGAAGTGAGAGGCAGACCCGCTGAGAAGTCACGTACGTACGTTGCAGGTGTTTAGGAAATTGGAAGAAGAAAGGTAATAGGGTCTAGGGAATTTGAAATGGTGTAAATGGCAGCTGTTGTGGTTGTTAAATTATCAATTCCTCATGGACTACGTATCACTTACGGTCCAGTCAACCAAAGCAATAAAAAATAAAAGGCCCACTCGCACAGCCCATAACTTGCCACCTAAGAAGTTTAAAAAAAATTGGGTGTAGCCAATGGAGCACCAATATTTTTTGCTACTACCACATAGGCTAGTGGAACATTTTGAGGTGAAGCCAGTGCTTACTCTGCTTTTACTATAGGTCCGCCCCTGCTACCTGGTCTGAAACCAGGCCGCTATTGTTTGGTATCGGATGAGACCCGTTATTTCAGTCTCGATCTAAGCCCGGGTACTTGATCAATATACGGGTACCCAGTCCCGGATTAAGGATGCATAGTTCGGTCCCAACAATCACATTTTTTTCGATTTCAGTGGGGTAACTAGCCGTTGAAACGGCTATAAATGGCTAGTATAACCGTTGGGAGGGGGTATGGAAGGGCTTGGGGTGGGAGGGGGTATGGAAGGGTTTGGGGGTGGGAGGGGGTATGGCTTGTATAAACGGCTATAAATACCTCCATTTTCACCATTTTTCCTACACGTCATATTCTCTTCTGCTCTCAAATTATAATTGTCACTAATCTCAATCTCTATCATTTCATTTTATATCTTAATACTCATAATTATATATATATATATATATATATATATATATATATATATATATATATATATATATATATATATATATATATATATATATGTACTACCTCCGTTCTTAAATAAGTGCAACATACAAAATTTTACACTATTCACATGTTCTACTTTGACTACATTTTATTCATTGATGTATTAAACATATTTTTTTGAAAAAAATATTACTAAATTTGTCTCATTGTATATTTTCAAAATCTGATTTTTTTACATTTTTTACTAATAGAGAGTCATATATATTAATGGTCAAAGTTGTGACTCGAAAAATGTGAAATGTTGACCGTTGCACTTATTTAAGAACGGAGGAAGTATATATATGTATGTATGTGATGGAGTATATGGACTCCGACCCCCCGGTCTGCCGACTATTGGGCCTGGACAGCGGCCCACACATGTTTAGAGGGTTCTTATTATTGTACATTATTATTCAGATGTTCTAGATTAGCTTTTTATACTATCAGTCTATTTATGTAACCAGGTCTGTCAGGCCCGTATTAGAGGCCCAGACCCGGATTTTCCCTATATATACTCCTTATAGGAGGCTTGTAACTAATAACAAATATTCATTCATTCTATACACTTTCATTATTTCTTCTCCATTCTTGTTCAATCTCTCTTGTTTATACAATATGAGTATCAATTATCCATCATTTGGTGCTCTCGTTGAGAGATTGAACACAATCAAGTAAGGAAACCTCCCCAAAACACCCAAAAAATTCATCCAAAATACAAGGAATCAGTCAAAAACACATCCGAAAAATGTCAAAAAATCCAGCAAAAAGCAATCTGGAAAATCCAAATCTAAGTCATAAAAATAGCTGCAGAGGAGATCGTCGGACGCCGCTACCAGCCGCCGCCGCACCAGATCTGTTCTGGAGTTGATACCGTCGCCGTCCATGCCGCCGCCCTTCGCCGTCGGCTCAGGCTCGCTGGAAGTCTGGAACTCACCTGCTGCACTCCAAAGATAGCGTCGCTGCTCACAGCAGTTGTAGGGTCGTCAGTAACCGTTCCAGTAATTTCTCCGCCTCCGTTAGAGAGATGCCAACCGCGTGAATCGGCTGGAGGTCGCGACCAATGGCTCAATGCAGACCGACAACGGAATACAACTTGAGGCAGCAGGTCGAGTCTTACTTATAACACTGATTTCATAGATTTCGCATCTCCCTCTTGAAAAGTTGAAAACCCGCCATTAATGGCGGTTGGAAGCCTTGATAGTTGTTTTTGAGCTCCTATGTTATCAAGCACAGACAAAGTGGCAGAGCCTCTGCTCTCAAACTTTGGCTTGCCAATCTTGTTCGCAGAAGCCAGATCGATTTTGTCACTAAATTAATTAGTGGACCCACTACATTAATTCACCTTTTGAGATATGTGGCTTCAAAAAATGGATACGTGGGTGCACTTCATCTTTGATTCCTTGTGGTGGCCGAGCAAACAGTCAAATATGGAGTATATTCGTAGTCAACAGACTTTTTTCCACTTGAAATAGGCCTAAGGATCAACATATTATATTCATTTGGGCCGGTATTTCTGCCCACTTCAAAAAGATAAGTACTCTTTAATTTTTATACTACGTATTATTTATATATATTTAAATCATTTTTTTCGGGTGAATGTCACACTATCACGCACTTATGATCAAATACCTAGTAGAGTGTGGCTTGAGACCCATCACTAGGATTTAAAGCCCTGACTCCTCAGGCACAAAGCCTTGTCTCCTCAGGCACAAAGCCCCGACCAAGTCGGGCATGAAGACAAAACCCGACCAAGTCGGGTACGAAGACCGGTCTTAGTCATTCCTCGAGTGGCGACCGTTGCTTACAAATGGCTCACACATCCATTCTACTAAGTATTTTATCATTACATTAACAATTCACATCTCCACTTGTTTCAAGCGACGAACCCCCGATCGGGAACATGAATCCCAAGAATTTTTTTTTATATGTATGATAAATGTGTAGGTACGAAGATGACTTTACTCATTTTCACCTCGTCTCTACTCGCCTCAAAGAGTGGGGACTGGGGGATTGAGGGGCCAGAGTTTCTAGATGAGCAGAAAATATCACGCAAGAGCAGGAACAAGAGCTGAGTCAGTTGAAGAGAAGCTGAGCTAGATTGATTATGCCGGAGGGGATTTACCTTCCTTGTTTCATGTTGGGGGCGCTAGGTGTACTCTTTTTCCCTTTATTAGGATTTTTTCCCACTGGGTTTTTCCTAGTAAAGGTTTTTAACGAGGCACCTCCCCATCATGGACAAGGGTGGTGGTCCCCCGACCGAAGAGGAAGAAACCAAAGACAGAAGAACGTTGCAGCTACAGTTTGGACTACTCCCTTTCACCTCGAGTACTCTCGGCTCAGGGAGTGGGAGACTCCTGATGGAGTATATGGACTCCGACCTCCCGGTCTGCCGACTATTGGGTCTGGACAGCGGCCCACACATGTTTAGAGGGTTCTTATTATTGTACATTATTATTCAGATGTTCTAGATTAGCTTTTTATACTATCAGTCTATTTATGTAACCGGGTCTGTCAGGCCCGTATTAGAGGCCCAGACCCGGATTTTCCCTATGTATACTCCTTATAGGAGGCTTGTAACTAATAACAAATATTCATTCATTCTATACACTTTCATTATTTCTTCTCCATTCTTGTTCAATCTCTCCTGTTTATACAATATGGGTATCAATTATCCATCAGTATGTATGTATGTATGTATGCATGCATGCATGCATGCATGCATGCATGCATGTATCATACATATTTATACATACATATATAATAATATTAGATTATTATAGCTTGAAGTTAGAAAGTATTATTATAACTATAAATATTATATAATACTTTGTATTAGATATTACTTACTAGTAAAATTAAATATTTATTAAGTGCACACACACACACACACGCATAAGGGAGCCTTCAGCACACACGCCGAGGGGTCTGCAACCACCGCATTTAATGCGGTGTCACATCCAACCACCGCATTTAATGCGGTGTCACATCCAACCACCGCATTTAATGCGGTGCCACATGCAATGCCGGCGCCAACGCGGCTGGAGTGACCCTCCACCACTGGTTATTTGACATGTGTACTCGCATTTAATGCGCCTAGAATTTATGGCTACTATAAATAGCGTCTCCTTTCCCTCTGTAATACCGGTGGGCGTAGCTCAACTGGTAGCGAGGGAGTGCCACAAGGGTTAGGTCTCGGGTTCGAATCCCGGCAACTGCGATGAGGGGTTACTATGCTGAAAAATGCATAGGGCTTCTGCAAGTACCGGGGACAGAGCCCCACTCTCTATCTGTCAGATTGTGATTATAGTCCAATTTACATCCTCCCATCGTGCCATCCGGTCGGTGTTGGGGGGCCCTCAGGGATGGGGTGTCATCCTTTTTTTCCTTTCCCTCTGTAACAAGGAGTTCATTTAATACATTTTGACTCTCTCTCTCTCTCTCTCTCTCTCTCACTTATTGCTCCGACTTATCTCTAGATATCCCTCGGATAATCTATCCCCTCTACATATATAGGGTGTACATATACATATATATACATGTATGTGTGTGTATTGAAGTATTAAATATAATTATTCTACTCATCTCATTGTAGTATATGTATATATTATATACTATTAACATGTTATTATATATATATTAAGTATACTAATTAATGTTTTAAATATAACTATACTACTCATCTCTAATTAAACATGTATCGTAAGTTTATACTAAAGTATTAAATATAATTACACTGCTCGATACCCATCTCATAGTAGTATACTTATATATTATATACTCCTACTATTAACATTTCAATATTAGTCATATTTTCATTCCAGACACAATTTAATATTGCTCACAATTTATTATCAAAACATTCCCGTGGGAACCACCTTTAACGGTGAGTTCCGCACAACATCTCGATCTGAAGTGCCTGATATGAACTGCTCTCTACAAATAGATAACCGCAAATTATAGAATACTCCGTTTGAAATTCATATATGTATTGTGTGGAAACCCTAGTAGTATTGGGGTTAGCCCATTTGTATACCTTGTATAGGAAACCCTAGTACTCTAAATATAGCTATAAATATAGCTTCTTGTATAGGATTTCATATGAAGTATAATGAATACAATCTTATATTTCACATGGTATCAGAGCCAAAATGGCAAATATATTCAGTTAGTGTTATAATATTTCTGCCAGTCAGAAATTCGGGGCAGAAACTCCGGCCAGAAATTCCGGCGTGAATAGATGTTGCGTATGTCGTGCTTCCGGTAGTGATTTAAGCCTACCGTCGTTCATCGCAACTTACCGCCAGGAAACCGCCGCCGCTGCCTCATCCACGCGCCTCCACAAACTGTTGAAGTTTACACCAGCAACTGTCGTTTTTTTTGCAGATCTATCTCGTTCTACTCTTTCTCTGTTGACACTGCCAACCACTTGAAGATCCTGAGATTCCGGAGACCAGAACGGTATAAGAAAGAGCCGCCGCCGACGGTCCACGCACCGCCAACCCGACGTGCCGTTGCCGCCTAGGTCCGGTGTTATACACTTACAGCCGCTCGTCCGTACGCACCTTCCGCCGCTGCTTTATTCCGTCACTCCAGGACAGAGGTTGGTTTTTCTTCCTCCTAATTCGCTACTGTTCATCTCCCCAGTACTTGGAGCTACGAAGGCAGTACTGGTCAACACAGTCAACACTATCCAGCTGCTGTCTTGGAGAGTTTTTGCTAAACTTTGAATTTTTATTTTACTTTCTGCTACTTTAAAAAAAAGCAAAAGAGAGAGAGAGAGAGAGGGAGAGAGAGAGAGAGAGAAAATGTCTTTTATGAAATCTGATAGAGGAAACAATACAGGATACTCAAGACGACATCGTCCTAAATGTGAATTTTGTCATAAAATTGGTCATACTAAAGACAGGTGTTGGAAATTACATGGGATACCTCCTACCTCAGTACATGTTGCTCAGATCCCGCCATTTCCTATTGTTCTATCTCCAGAAGAATATGCAGCATATCAGCAATTTAAGTTGACTAATATGCCATTATCTACAACCGGGATGTCTACCGCTTGCGTTTCAAACACTGCGGGCTCATGGATCATTGACTCAGGTGCCTCAGACCATATTTCTGGTAATCCCAATCTTTTATCCCATATTACCAAGCACCGACATCTTCCTTTGATTACTCTTGCCAATGACCTTCAAACTTCAGCTTCGGGTATTGGGCAAGCACTTCCACTTTCATCCTTACCATTAGACTCGGTCTTATATGTCCCAAACACCCCTTTTAACCTTGTCTCTGTCAGTAAAATTACACGTGCTCTTAATTGTTCCGTAACATTTTCTGCTGATTCTGTGATTGTGCAGGACCGTTGTACGGGGAAAACGATTGGCGTTGGACATGAATCTCAAGGTTTATATCATCTCCATCCTCTTGATCCAATTGCTTGTGTTTCAGTTGAACCTGCTCTTACCTTACATAACCGTCTGGGTCATCCTAGTCTCTCAAAGTTTCAACGTATGGTTCCAGGTTTCTCAAATCTTTCATCTTTAGATTGTGAGTCATGTCACCTTGGAAAACAACCTCGTAAATCTTTTCCAAGGCGAGTCAATAAACGGGCTACATCGATCACCATTTGATTTAGTTCATACAGATGTATGGGGTCCGTATCGAGTCACTTCTACTTTAGGTTTCCATTATTTTGTTATTTTTGTGGATGATTTTTCCCGTTACACATGGTTGTTTTTAATGAAAGAGCGTTTTGAATTGTTTCATATTTTTCAATCTTTTTGTGCTGAAATTCAAATTCAATTTGTCATTCTATAAAAATTTTACGCAGTAACAATGCCAAAGAATTTTTTGGGGCATCCTTTAATCAATCCATGACATCACGGGGTATGCTTCACCAATCTTCTTGTGTTCACACACCTCAACAAAATGGGGTTGCTGAACGCAAGAACCGACACTTGGTTGATACTGCTCGTACCCTATTATTACATTCCCATACACCACCTCAGTATTGGGCAGATGCTGTGCTCACTGCGTGTCATTTAATAAATAGAATGCCTTCCTCAGTTCTTAATAATGAAATTCCTTATTCTATTTTGTTTCCTGCTCGTGATTTATTTCCATTACCACCTCATGTGTTTGGGTGCGTGTGTTTTGTCCATGACACGACACCTGGATTAGCTAAAATGGCGGCTAGGTCAATAAAATGTATCTTTCTTGGATATTCGCGACTCCAAAAGGGATATCGTTGTTATTCTCCATTACTTAAGAAACATTTTATTTCAGCCGATGTCACTTTCATTGAGTCGTCCTTTTATTATACATTATCTTCAGTTGATGCCCCATCATGTTTGGACTTCACCTCATATCTTCGGCCCATCCATCAGGAGACTCCCATTAACCCCCCATCTGATGAGCACCCAAACTGCCCTCCTATGTCAGACCGTCCATTACAGGTATACCATCGACGTCCTCGATCTCCTCCCATTGAGCCCATCGTGGCCACGCCCGTTGATTCTCCTATGACGAATCCTGCATCACCACCATCACTTACTCCAACACTTGACACCACTCAGGATAATTTGCCCATTGCTCTCCGAAAAGGTACGCGTTCCACATTGAATCCACATCCCATATATAACTTTTTGAGTTATCACCGCCTCTCTACCCCTTATTATGCCTTTATTTCCCACCTATCTCATATATGCATTCCTAAAACCACACATGAGGCACTGGCACACCCGGAGTGGCGTAAAGCCATGTTGGCTGAGATGGAGGCTCTTCATTCTAGTGGGACGTGGGACTTAGTCCCCCTTCCCACCGGCAAATCAGTGGTGGGATGTCGGTGGATTTACACAGTTAAAGTTGGGCCTGATGGGAAGATTGATTGTTTTAAAGCACGCCTTGTGGCGAAAGGGTATACTCAGATATATGGCTTGGATTACACTGACACTTTTTCTCCCGTAGTGAAGATTGCATCAGTTCGTTTGGTTTTATCCATGGCAGCAATGAGCCGATGGCCATTGTTCCAATTGGATATTAAAAACGCATTCCTTCACGAAGATCTGCACAAGGAAGTTTATATGGAGCAACCACCTGGATTTGTTGCTCAGGGGGAGTCTGGTATGGTGTGCAAATTACGTCATTCATTATATGGCTTGAAGCAATCTCCACGTGCATGGTTTGGGAGGTTTAGTGCCGTTGTCTGCAGCTTTGGCATGATTTGCAGTGATGTTGATCATTCTATATTCTACAGACATTCTGCTGGCAACAAATGTATTTATCTTGTTGTGTATGTTGATGACATTGTCATTACAGGTAGCGATGATCAAGGAATTGCACTCCTCAAGCAACATTTGTTTAGCAATTTTCAAACAAAAGACTTGGGAAAGTTGAGATACTTCCTTGGCATTGATGGAATTGCTCTATCACAAAGAAAGTATGCCTTGGATATTCTTGAGGAAACAGGTTTGCTAGATTGCAGGCCAGTGGATACACAAATGGATCCAAACGTTAAACTCTTATCAGAACAGGGAGATCTTTTGCCCAACAAGGAAAAATATAGAAGACTCATCAGCAAATTGAATTATCTTACCATCACAAGGCCAGATATTTCATTTGCGGTAAGTGTTCTTAGTCAGT